CTTGAATATGAAATTAAAAAAAACGAAGAATTCGCACATACTGATTTATCGATAGCATCGCACTGTTTCAATCTGTTCAAGTTTTAAATATTTAATTTTCTGGAGTACGCGGAAAATTAGTAACTGATGTTGTACTACTGCTTAGGAAAAATGATTACAAAAACCAAGAAAAAATATTTACGCAAAAAGCGATTACGTAAAAATCATTATGCAGAAAGCGATTACGTAAAAATGATTACGAAAAAAGTGATTACGCAGAAAGTGATTGCTTGAAAATGATTACGTGAAAAGTGACAACGTGAGAAGTGATTACTCAAAAAATAATTACTCAAAAAATAAGCAGCAGGCTAACAGCTCAACTTATCACTTAATCAGGAGTTGAGTTAGTTGTTTGCCTCCTGCTTATCAAAAAATAAGCAGGAGGCAAAAACTCAACACAACTTGGCAGCAGACTGAAAACAACTCAACTCAGAAACAGGGGGCAAACAACTCAACTCAGCAGCAGGTGAAAAACAGCTCAACTCAGCAACAGGAGGCAAACAACTCAACGCAACTCAGCAGCAGGAGGCAAACAACTCAACTCAGCTTCGCAACAGGGGGCAGCTCAACTCAGCAGCGGGAGAGAAACAACTCAACTCAGCAACAGGAGGCAGACAACTCAACTCAGCAGCAGGAGAGAAACAACTCAACTCTACTTAGCAGCAGGATGAGAACAACTTAACTCAGCAACAGCTGGCAAACAGCTCAACTCAGCAGCAGGAGATAAACAACTTAACTCAGCAGCAGGCGAGAAACAACTCAACTCAGCAACAGGAGAGAACAAAAACTCAACTCAGCAACAGGTGGCAAACAACTCAACTCAACTTGGCAGCAGGAGAGAAGCAACTCAACTCTACTTAGCAACAGGAGGCAAACAACTTTAGCAACAGGAGGCAAACAGCTCAACTTGGCAGCAGGAGAGAAGCAACTCAACTCAACTGAGCAACAGGTGGCAAACAACTCAACTCAACTTGGCAGCAGGATGAAAAGAACTCAACTCATCAGCAGTTGGCAGTCCCGCAGTGGACTGATCGTTAAGACATGGTTCCCAGCAGATCACCGAAGTCAAGCATCACTGGCTGCGGTCAGTGTGCGGGTGGGTGACCACTTGGATCAGTCTGCGTAGAGACCGAGGGTGTGCGGTATTGGTCCTCGTTAAACTGTTCTACCGTAAAGTGCTCGACTTCGCTTGCAGGTCGTCGGGCTACCGAAGCGAGAGTGCCATCCCCTCTGTGGAGGATCAAAATTGTGATGGCATGTCTTTGGATCATCCTCAAGGTTGTTTCCCAGACCTTCGCTAATAGCCCATTGTGCAGCTCTAGTGCGACGTAAATGATCAAATCAAATCAATCAAATCAGCAGTAGGCAAACAACTCAACTCAGCAGCAGGAGGCAAACAGCTCAACTCAACAACAGGAGGCAAACAACTTGGCTCAGCAGCAGGAGGCAAACAACTCAACTCAGCAACTGGAGGCAAACAACTTAACTCGAGAAAAGTAGGCCTTGGCCCTCTATGGGCTGTCGCGCTACTGGGTTTAGTTTTAGAATATTTTTGATTGTGATTGTAATAATTGAATTACGTGCAATTAATAACTGATTGTAATCAACGTGTAATTATTAATCAGCGTGTAATTATTAATCAGCGTATATTACATTATAATGCAAAATAAATATTTATTTTGCATAATAATGTAATATACGCAATATTTTTCAAGTTAGCGAGAGAGAAAAGGAATCATTCGATTTTGCTACTTCTAAAACAAAAAACTATGGACGCATAATTTTCTAAAAACGGAGAGGGGGATAGCTGGTGATACGATTATCACGAACTTTAGTTGCTCTTTCTCTCCATCGTTAGAAAGTGATGCGCCTATATTTTTCGTTTTAGGTGTAACAAAAATATTTTTTTTCTTTTTTGTCCTCCTGAAAACATAGTTCTTAAAATTTATATTTTATTTTTTTTCGTTTTAAGTGTTGCCTGTTAATGTTTGAAAATCGTTAAAATTTTGATTGTCAATAAAACGGATATAAGTTTTGTTTTACAATCTTTAGGAAATGTAACTTTAATTGTCATCAGACACAGAGTTTAGGTTTCAGATACTATTGAAATTTGTAGATTCCACTCATAAAACGAGGAAATTCGAGGTTTTGTTTCACGAAAAAAATTCTCTTTAGTGATAAAATGACGATAAACATAACTTTCAGTGGTCCGGAAGCAATCGTAACTGGTTTTGTCAATAGAGTGCTGGTGGAATTTGGAGCACTTTGGCTACTGAAGTGATTAATATATCTATTTGTGATACGTCCTATTTGCCGATATAGTGTTAATAAACTATCTTTGTTGTGGTCAGGAAACGACTTGAATTCTCAATAAACACGCAGCTCAAGTGCAGATTTGAATACTGTAGCTAATCGGAAAGTAGTAGATATTTCAATTGCATGTTACTATCGTTATAAATACGAAAATGAGTTAAATCAAGTAATAATAATAAATGCGGAAGGTAATATGAACAATTCTATAAACTCACAGAAAATTATCACAGGTGTCCCAACACTTTCAGAGATAAAAGAAAAATTGCTTGTTAATTTTATTGATTATTAATTCAATTTTGATACAGTATTAAGTTTTTGCAAATTTTTTTACTACCTATAGAAATTCGTTTATGGTCGATAATTTTTTAAATGAATATTAATTTGAGAACCACAATAAAAAAATGTCACGTATTTGTTACAAAAAATTTAAAAAGCATATTTAACGATATCACGGAGCACCCAGAAAGTTTGAGTAAAAAATTATGTTCTATTTCATAGAATTAAAATGAAGAAAAAAATAGCTTGAAATACAGGGAATTTTTTAAAAAATAAAACATCAGAATTACCAAAATAATTTTAGTTCGTCTTTAAGATCACAAAATATGTGGTTAGCGTTGAAAACTCTTCAAAGAGTTAATTGAAACTTTTTTTATTCCCTTTATAGATCCTCTTCTTGCAGTTATATAAATTTACTTTTGGACACTTACTCTAATTTTGTTTAAGAAAAACATTTTTCACTTATGTTTGTTGATATTTTTAATGACATTCAAGGAGCATCAAAATTTTGTAAGTGCTTAGGGCCTCTAAGGCTCTTAATCCGGCCCTGACATTGTATTTAATGCCACGTTTTCGTTCCTTCACGTCATGCGAGTCTTAAGAATAACTGTTTATTTTAATCGTATTTTTTAAAGCCAAGGATTTGTTGTAGTTGTAGTTCATTTACGTCACACTAGAGCTGCACAATGGGCTATTGGTGACTGTCTGGGAAGTATCCCTGAGGATGAGGGGATGGCACCCCGCTTCCGTAGCCCAATGACCTGCGCACGAAGTCGAGCACTTTACGGTAGAACAGTTTAACGAGGACTCATACCGCGAACCCTCGGTCCCTACGCAGACTGATCCAAGTGGTCTCCCACCCGCGCACTGACCGCAGCCAGTGATGCTTGACTTTGGCAATCTGCTGGGAACCGTGTCTAAACGATCAGTCCACTGCGGGATTTAAAACCAAGGAAGTTTTTGCCATCAAATATAATGGATCGTTCTTGATCAGTATTTTTATCAGAATCTTATGCTGAAAGCGAAAAAAAAAACTTCTGCAAAGTTTTATTTCGACAGGGTTTACGCGGTTCTTAAAACCTTTAGGAAACCGTGGCACCTATATTGAAATAAAGAAGTTTATAATTCTTTATTTTTTTTTAATATTAAAATTTAAAAACTTAAGATTTTGTTACCAGATATTTGAAGTTATATATTGAAATTGATTATATCATATTGTGGTGAATATAACAGTAATGAAATACATTTATTTTCTTAGATTTGATGCCACTATTACTGTTTCCTAAGTACCTTAAGAATTCTGTTTAAAAAGAGACTGTCGTGTCAGATTTATGTATATATGTACGATGGTATGATCGTAACTGTTGAGCATGATGAGCGACATTTTACGGTGAATTTATGAAAATCATTTTCAGAATGTGTGAAAATATCAGGATGCTATTGGCAAATTATCTTTATTTGAAGAAAGCCACGTAACTCACATATTTGGTAGACTGATACTATTTTTAAAAGGATGAATCATACAATATTCTTATGTAATATCTTTATATTTAAGGAAATTAAAAACAACTTCAATGCAAATAGTACCTGATAAAAATATTATGTGTTAAAAAACTGGAATCATGGAAAATCATAAATAATTTATCAATCCATTCAGTTTTATTTTGAAAGGATATGAAAACGAAAGCAATCTTGGGCAGTAATAAATTTCTGTTGTTTAGTAACATTGAAATATTTTTCTATCGACTCATTAAAAAANAAAAAAAAAAAAAAAAAAAAAAAAAAAAAAAAAAAAAAAAAAAAACTTTTTGACCCGACCTATCCTTTGTTTTTTTGTAGCTCGAGCTACAAAAAACGAAGGATAGCTACAGTTTTTATTTAATTCCTTTTTATTTTTTCAGCTTGTCTCTTGTCATTTACGCCTCTAGCGAATGATTATATTAAAATTTTCTATTCTGCTGCGGTGATAATTCTTGGCATCTTTTTGAGATGACGCCAAATATATTAAACTTCATAGCGCCTTAAATTTTGATCCAATTTTTTCAAAAGTTTGTCTACCAGCTGTATTTTGAGGTTCAGGAATCCAAATATGACAAAAAATACACGTTTATTCAGAGAAAGTTCGTTTGTGTGTATGATTTCGTAACTTAATTAATAGTTAGCACTAGTTAATTAGCATATTTGAAGTCACCCATAGAAACCATTAAGATTGGCACTTAGTACGTGAAAATCTGATCATCAGAACGAAAGTTATTCAGGGTGATATATTTTTTTTTTTTTGCCGAATGTACATCACACGCTCTTCACATCCTGCGAAAAATTCAGCAGCTGCCTGCCGCCAGTCGGACAAACTTGGCATGCATGAGATTAGCCTTGACGATCTCCCATTTCTAATGCCGTCGCGCCACAGATTTCTAGGTTTAACATAAATTGAATCGCGGCTGCTAGGACGGTTCCAAATCTGTATAGTAAGGTTTACTTTAATTATTTCTCTATAGAAGTCAAAGAAACGAAGTGAAGTCACTCAGACTGTCGTCTGTAAGGAATTTTATTTTGTTTTCAACATTGTTCTGAGTAGTAGCATTTTGTTTCTCTAGCCGGTGTGTGTCTCTCAAGTTGAATTTATTTTCATTGTAAACATCTGAGCTATTCTTCTTTGAAGATTCCATTTCTTGGCCTGAAAAACTCTAATTTTGAGATGGGTATGTTTATTTTCTATTTTTAGATTCAATTTTTTTAGATAATTTTCTATTTTTAGATTTCAAATTTTTAGATTATTTTCTATATATTATTTTAGTTCTGCTTCAAAGTCTCTACTCTATAAAATGCAGCTTCCACAATAATTTTGTAATTCTTTGATTTAGCTGAGTAGTAATTTGTTACATCAAAGAAAAAGTGCAAAAAATTTGCAAGTTTAAAATCGATTTGGCACCTTGGCGATTGTAGTTGGCGTAACAGATCATGATACGGAAATACCCCGAAAGAAGTTATTTTTTAAATATTTAGACCAGTGGCTCCTAACCTATTTTGACTCTCTCCCCCCTTTTCGCTATTGCTAGAAACTCATTTCTCCTATTCCAAAACTTAATATTTAATCAGATTTTTCTCTTAAAATGTTTCAAAATATAAGCAACGTTGCAATACCTGCCAGTACCTGCCAACTTGTACTGTGTTTGAAAAGGATTTTACAAAGTGGTAGTAAAACAGCAATTAAGTTTGGTAGAGTTTTCTAATATCAAAACTCTTAAGATATCTATAAACGTAGTTAGCTTACAAGTAGATTTTATTCACATAATTTTTTAAATTATTGATTCATCGTAATAGTTTAAATTATTTTTTTTAAACTTAAAAATTTAATACGCCAAAACGATATCCACAAAGAAAATTATTTCTCAACAGCTATACATGTTTGTAGCTACACACACACATATATATATATATATATATAAATTTGGAGCGATAATTTAATTTTGTTTATGTTCACTTACAGGGTTCATAATTGTCATCTTTTGTCTTAGTTTTTAGCTAATGCCCTGAAATTCTTTATTTTTGTGTGTTTTCAGAACATTCCATTTTTACGAATAAAAGTGCATATTTTTAAATAATAGAGTTTAAAAATCCTGAAATTTGGATTTATGATCCGACATTTTTTTATAATGCTAGTAAAAATATAAAGTTCACTTTTAGGAACCAACCTCTAATTATAAACCTAGTTCAGATCTTATCTGTAAGATTCATTGTTTCATTAAGTCATTTTATAAAAAAAAAATCAAATAGTTATTTAACTTTATCAAATTTCTATGGAATTCACGGATCATATGCACATTTACTATTTTCAGCAAATGCAACATAGTAATAAATCTTGTTTGATGGAGTTTTGTACTTTCACAATTATTGATTTGTCTCTTTCATCTGAGTTTAAAAATTATCAATTACAGTCAACCAAATGGTAATCATATCTTAGAATTTTTAAGGTGAATTGAAAGAGCATGAACTACTGATGAACTAAAAAAAAATTTGGAAGCAGATTCACTGCGTTTTCATTTTAAGATTATTGTAATTCTGCTTTAAAATTATTGGATAAAATAATTTTTAAAATCAATTGTAAATTTTATTTAAATATGGTTATGAAGGAATGTTAACTTCTAGTGGTTTTTTATTTATTTTATTTTTAATTCAACGATACTAAAAATGTCTGTTCTTAAAAAACAAAGTAATTCTGGAATAAAAAAATATGTTAGAAAAAATTTCCTTTTTTTTTTTTTTTTTAAATTTTGTCCTGATTTTTTTCATTTGTCGACTATGAAGTCTGCACGAAATAATTATTTAAGCAAAATAAATTCACGAATGAATTACTAATAGGAAAAATTTTAGCATTAGAGCAAGCCTGTACATGGTTAGTCACTTTTTGCTCAAAGCAATATCCGTGATTGTTTTTATTCACTAATTTTTGAATGTATGGTGTTTTGCTAAAAATTTCTAATGTAGGTCACTTTAAATGTTCTTGACTTGAAAAAACTGATTTAATATTATAAACAAATAAGACAGGAGGTGATATCATGATAACACTTTCTATTACTCTTGGATAAGATTTGAGGATTCAAGACCAAACTTTTGTGACTGAATGCTCTTCAAATATGTTTGTAGCTTGAAAATCTGTTTAATAAATTCTTTTTGCCAAAATTTCTAAACATTTTCTCCGACATAGTTCCTGATGTGTTTTGTACGAAATCTAACTAATGATTAAAAACACCTAGTAAAGTATTGCATAAATTACATTTTCTAAGGATGCTGAAGGATTTATAGCAAGTGACTCACCACTCTTGAAACTATAATATTCTCCTGTGCATAGAAATTTTTTCTTGGTTGGAAACCACTGACAATTAGAGAAATTTACCACTTCAAAAATTTAATTAGGTCTCAACATTTTATGCAATTTTTTTTTAATATAAAAAATCTTTTGAAGTTTTGAAAAAACTTTTGTTCTTAATTGAATTTGGTTTAAAATTCTTTTCATTATTAAACTTATTTCTTAACGTTTCCTTTGCTTTTTTTATTTAATTAAAATTCGTAATATAATTTAATAATTAAGTAAAAGTTATATATATATATATACTGCAAAATATAAATTCTGTACAATTCTATATTCTTCCATTTCATTCCATTTAAACTTTTAATATGTATTTATAGAAATTCCAGAAAAATATTTCCATTTACAAAGTTATCAATGTTTTCAGTAGGCTTCTGTTCTTGTATTATTATCTGAACGCTGTTTTTAAAGCTATGTACTTACGTGGTTCATACTTTCATTTTCAAATATTTGAACCGTTAAGTTTTCCTTCTCTATTAGCCCACTGCATTCATCGTGTATTATTTGACTTGAAAATATTTTGTACTGCCATTTTATTTGCTTCCCTCAATCAAATGTTTATTAGGATTTCTGACAATTGTTACATAAACTGATAAAAGCCTAAAAAAATTCTTTCTTTTGGGTACTATCAAGCACAAAGAAATAAGTATAAAAAAATGCAAGGAAAAGTATTTTCAGTAGAATGAGCCTTTGATATTGAATGTAGTATATTCCATTGAATTGTTTTGATTTCATTTTTATTAATACAGTTAATTTACAATTTATGAAAGTTTGAATATTGAATTTTTTTTTTCTTATATTGGTTATAACGCATAGCTGTACGAAAGGTTCTTTAGTATGTAATGCAGAGGTCTCGCAAAAAGTGGTCTATTTAATGGAAAAAACAACCGGCAGAAAAGAAAATTATAATACATATTTATACCAAGTTGATATTTATTTCTGTTTCCCCTCGCTTTAGTTTTAAAAGAGCAAGTATTATTAATACGTTATATTAGACAGAGCTATCTTATTTCTACAAAATAAATCCTTGTAACTAAACTCTTTTGCTACAATTTTTTCTTTAATTAGAAAGAATTGTTCTTATTGAAGGAGCTTGGCATAGACAGATAAATGTATGTAAAATTGAGGAATCTACTTTAATATACTCAAAGCCCTTAGTCAACAACTGTAATGGAAACTCAAATCTCGTTTCAGTTCTATCCAAAATAAAAATGAAATTCAGATTTTAAAAAAAAAAATTGTAAGATTAAAAAAGATTTAAATTAAAAAGGAAAAAATCAATATTTCATTATAATAGGAACTAAGACTGTGGTGCACATTCTTTGCCACGTGACTTCCTTCACACAAAAAATCACATTTCGAGCGGAAGTCTTTCTAAAACCTTTGCATCCATTTATAAAAATCTCTAAAGAGTTGCAAAATATTTTTATGAACGTCTTTGTGAGACGGTGAACAGTCACATTAAAAAAAATTAAGTTGTCTTATTTGCATTTAAAAATTCATGCAAATAAATTATGTATTTCTGTCGATATAAATATTTTTTATCTTTATCACTAGTAAGAAACATTATTATTATCGTCATTATCATTATTTATTCACATCATTATTTATTATTACCAACCTGAAGGGGTTTTGCCACCACTTTCTCAAGTTTTCTTGGTAGTTGTTAGTATAATACGAAAAACAGTTTTTTTCTTTTAATCAAATGACAGTATAATTTAAAAGCTACATTAATAATTGCTTGAAATAAATTTTAATAATGTTCTGCTTAGTATTTTCTATTTTTCTTCTTTAGATTAAAACAGATCATATGATCCTAATGTACCCTAGTGATTTTTTTTTATCAGACATAATTTATAACTTTTATCGAGTTTTTTAGATATGGTTGTGCCGCTACTTTTAGCAAGGTACTACCGATTTGCAACATTAATTTCTTCATTCATCTCAACTCATATTAGTGAATTTTAATTTATTTTATTAAGCACAATAATTTGGGTAATATATTTTACTTCAGGACCTCTTTCCTTCTAATATTTCCCCCCTCTACTGTACCTAACACTATTTAATTTGGTTGCCATTTGTGTTTCATGCAGTCGACCATTTTTTTTCCAAATATTTTGCACCTTATTTTTATTATGGGTTTTCGTTTCCTCTTGCACATGCAATAATTATGTACTTATCTTTGAACGCTTATTTTGTTAATGCGTTATTTTAATTTGTAAAATTTTTTCCCTAGCATTTTCAATTTAATTAATCACATTAAAAAAATTGTTTGTGTGTTGGTACCAACGCTAACATTTTTAAAAAAGTGTGTTCCACATTTTTAATTTTGGCTATTTTATTTTTGATTTTTATTATATTTTTATCATTTATACCATTTGTTTGATGAAAATTGTATAAACAAAAGATAATTTGCTTGGTGCAAAAATAATTAAATTAGTTGAAATGGAAGAAATATGAGTAAGCTGAACTACAATCGTCTTCAATCGTATGATTGACTTATAAGTTAAGAGTAAGTCAAATTTAAACTGCAAAAAAAAGCATACATTTGATGATGTTATCAGAAAAGAGAATCTTTAATTTTGATTTCACTACATTGTCGTAAAATTAATTAGTTTTCCTTTTGCAGCAAGAAATCGTTAGTAAAAATAGAACTGAAAGCATTAAAACTAATTTGAAATTGAAAGAAAAGGAGGGAAAACTTTAAATTCTACTTTTCTATTTGCTTAAGAAAACGCTTTTTATCGCAACTTCACCTCTATAAGTATTGTAAAGTAAAGGAAAAGTAAATTCTGGCAAACCTAGATTAGTTTTTGAGGTTTTAAATGATGA